CTGCCAGCGGTCAGTTCTCTGAGCTTAGGTGTTCTGCTTATAGAGATTAGCACTGTCTGTTCTTAAAAGCAGTCCTGCCTCTGGTGACCTCACAGCACCTTAGAAACAAGCGTTGCTCAGGCCTCTGAGCACCTATTCTCATCCTCGTTCCAGGGATACTTTTGTACCTTTTATAAGATCATTTATTTAGAATTTAAATGCTTGACATGAAAAAAATAATAGAATAAAAACAGTTCACTTACACCTCTGTTTATGCTACTGCTTTAGGGTATTTCTAGTATTTCTTAGGAGGAAGAGGTGACGTCTGTCTGAGTGCCATGTGCTAAGCATTGTGCTGATGGAGCTTCAAGGGAAGTGACACTCTTAAATACAAGTTACTGAGGTTTCTTTGTTCTTGGAGGGTGTTTTTTTGTTTGGGTGTATGTGTCCGTGAAGATCTCATGTGGCTCAGACCAGCCTTGACCTTTCTGTGTTGCTGGATGAGCATAAACTCCTGATCTCCTGCCTCTCCCGTCCACCTCCCAAATGTTAGCATTACATGCACCAGCCACTATACTTGGCTACAAGTTGGTTAAACTTTTAAAAAAAAAAAAAAAAAAGCTGTCCAATCAGTAGACCAGACCAGGATCTCACTCTGTAGCCCAGGCTGGTCCAGAATTCACTAGGTAGCCCAGGCAAACCCCATCTCTGCCTATGGCTGTACCACAATGCTAAAGAAGACACTTTGCTATTTCCAATAAGTTAAAAATCCACTTTAAAGCCACAACATTTGTTTTATTTAATGATGACAGCCAGATGCCATGCTTGCTTCTCTTCTGATTCCTAACCATTTGATCTTTTTTCCTCACCTATGCACTGAAGATAGCACACACATTGCTCTTTGCTTGAGGCGACACCTCATGTGTCCCAGGCTGGCCTCACTGTGGAGCTGAAGATAACCTCAAATTTCCCATTTCACAGGACAGGCGTGCAGCATGAGGCCTGGCATTGTGTGGCCCTTGGCCTTCTGCAAGCTAAGCAGACACTCCGTCCCCAGCCTGTTTGTGCTGTGTGAGTTCATCTAGGATGGGATCTAGCTGGATAGCCATGGCTGGCCTGGAATTCCGTATGTTGAGCCACCTGGCCTCCAGTTTTTGGAGATCCTCTTGCCTCTGCCTCTCAATGCTGAGATCACACACACACCACATCCTTTGCTCACCTCCATAAAGAGAGAGTCTTAATTCTTCTTGCTATGTATTGAATACTTATTTTATTTTTTTTAAAAAAAAAAGTTTTCTCTTTGAAAAAAAAGAAACCACACTGATTTTTTCTTTAATGGTCTTATTTGGTGGTTTTGTTGGGTTAAAAAACATGAGTGTTTGACTATTCATATGGTGTGTGCTGTAGGGCAGAGACAGCCATTGATTGGTCCATGGTCTTAAACAGGAGCTCACCGAAGCCATGACGTTTCCTTGAAAATAGCAAGAACTAGGGTAAGGATCCCATGCTGAGGACCTGCCTCACAAGGCCCCATAAAACTGAAAGTCTAGCATGTGGCTGTGTGTCATGCTGGGATGATGTGCTTATTGGTTTTCCGACAAGGTTGCTGATCCACAACACCTTATCCAAGGCCTACTGTAGAAACTTCAATGTTCCCTGCCTTTAGCTGGCCATAAAGAAATTCTCTGACCTTTCCTGACAGATAGCAGGTTATATCCCTCTTTCCAGAAGAGTCTTGCCTGTAAAGAAGGAATGTATGAGCAGCCCAGCAGCCTGCCGGAATGCTAGCCTCCATCACACTTACTCACGGAGTCTCCCCAGTAATTCAAAGGACAGGCTCAGATGACCCGCACCGATAAACAGGTGGGACACTGTGGAGGGTGTAAGCCCAAGGGAGGGTCTTCTGTCCTTGCCCTATATCTCAGCCTATACATCTCTTCATCTGTAGCCTTTATGATGTGTTTTACAATAAATCAGAAAAATCCTTTGTCTACACCCTATAATCTAATAGGACAATTAATCAAACACAGCCATCCGTCATCGGACTATGGGAACCCTGATTTATAAGAAGTGCAGAGAAAAATCAGGTGGGCCTGGGTGCCTGCAGCCTTGATCACAGCAGGGAGAGGCAGAGGTAGGAAGTTGTCGGAATCCTGCCTGGCCTACCAGTTCCAAGAACAGCACCTTGTCTCAAAAACAGAAGAGGAAAGAAACCAGGAACTTTTGGAAGACTCCAGGGGTGTGGAACAGCCTTAGGGGTTGTGTCCCACCATCTACAAGATTGATCAGACTCTGATTCCAGACAGGTAGATAGAACTTTCCCATCTGACTTAAGATAGTACAGCCTCCAGCCAGTGCCTGCTGCTGTGGAATTCACAGCTTGCTTGGTGGGGGAATGGGGGAATCACATTCACTTCAACAGTCTGTGTTGACTGTAAGAACACAAGGAAAGTATCACCTTGTGACTGACACAAGCCTCTGTTGATGTTTTATCTAACACAAACCTCTTGATGTTTTACCACCTCCCATCAACAGAGGAGTGGGAAAGGAAATGCTTCATATAAGTGCATATGCGTGCTCATTTCTGAGTTTGTCGCTATGACCTTTGGGCTATAATAGAATACAACTCAATACAGTCCTCACCAGGGTTCCCCACAGGTTCCAAGATAGCTATTTAAAAAGAAAAAAAAGAAATATTCTGTGTCCCTGAAAACAAACAGTTTCATTCCAGGGAGGGAGGGAAGGAGGGAGGGAGGAGGCAGGGAGGAAGGAGAGAGAGAGAGAGAGAGAGAGAGAGAGAGAGAGAGAGAGAGAG